AACCCCTCCCCCTACACCCTTTCCTGTCGGCTCCCATGTACTCATCCGCTACACCCGCATCCCCCACAGTGCTACACCCCTTTTCCTGTCTCTACAGTGGTTTGATCATCCTACACCCCCTGTCTCTACAGTGTATCATCTCTACACCCTGCCCCCTTACACCTCTCTGTCTTTAGCAGTGTATCATCCCCTACACCCCTAATCCCCCTACACCCTCTCTGTTCTACAGTGTATCATCCCTACACCCCTCTCCCTACGCCGCTCATCTGTCTCTAACAGTGTATCATACTACACCCCTGCCCTGTCTCTACAGTGTAATATACCTACACCCTCCTACACCATCTCTGTCTGCTAATCAGTTGTATCTCCCTACACCCCTCCCCCTCACACATCAATGTCTCACAGTGTATCATCCTACACCCTCCCGCTCAACATCCCTCTCTACAGTGTATCCAATCCCTACACCCCTGCCCCCCTACAGCCTCCTGTCTCATACGTGTATCATCCTACACCCTCCATGTCTCTACAGTGTATCATCCCTACAAAAGCCTCCCTGTCTCTACATGGTATCATCCATAAACCCATCCCGCCTACAGCCCTACTGTTCTCTTACGTGTATCACCTAGAGCCCCTCCCCCGCTAGTAGAATAGTAAATAGGTAGAAGAAAACAAACAGCAGCGCCACCTCTCTGTCTCTAGCAGTGTAATCATTCCTAACACTCCCCCTACACCTCCCTGTCATATACAGTGTATCATGCCTACACCCTGAAGTAGAACCCCCTACACCCTCTCTGTCTCTACAGTGTATCATCCCTAACCATCTCTGTCTCTACAGTGTCTCATCCCTACACCAATCTCTGTCTGTAAGGTATCATCCCTACAGTGAACATCCTCCGCTACACAATACTTGTCTCTCCAGTGTATGCAATCCCTACACCCGCTCCCCTACACCCATCCTGTCTCTACAGTGTAATCATCCTACACCCCTCCCCCTACATCCTTCCTGGTCTCTACAGTGTATCATCCTACACCCTCCCTGTCCTCTACGTGTATCATCCCTACACCCTCCCCTACAACGCTCCTGTCTCTACAGTGTTCATCACACCGCTCCCACTACCCCTTCCCTGTCTCTACAGTGTATCATCCGCTACACCCTCCCTGTCTCTAAACAGTGTATCATCCTACACCCCTCCCCTACACCTCTCTGTCTCTACAGGTGTAATGCATCCCTACACCCTCCGCCCCTACACCCTCTCTTCGCTACCAGTGTATCATCCCTACACCCTCATCTATACATACACTCTGGTAATGTATGCACTGTCTTGACTCGTGGAGAAATGAATTGCGCAACGAACCGCAGCGACAGCTGATGGGTAGCGAATGGATTGCACGTGCAACTACTGTTTTGATTTAGGCCAAGTAAAGCATTGTTTCTTGTTGCGATTTACATTATCAGAATCTGCTTCCAGTAAACATAAACACGTACACACGCACGGTGCACGGCCACGCGCACACGCACACGCACGGCGCACGAATACGCACGACGCACACAACACACCACAACACGACGTACACACGCACACGGGCCCGGCACAGCATACGGCACACACGCACACGTACACACACACTCGGCAATCAGCAGAGCGTCCCCTTGCGCAATCATCGCGTGTACGTGTGCAAGATCTCTGTGTGAGAATGATGTCGGACGCGTAGCCTATCAGCTTCCTCGTCCGGAACGGTCGCTGTAGCCACGGCCATATTATTATTGTGGCCAGGCGGAGCCACCAACCCGACAGTTTCAGGTGGCCCGACGCCGTTTCAGGTGCCTATTGGCACGCCGGGCACCGTTAAAGTCGAGCCTGCGCGGGTAACACGGAAATACACGGCACGTACATGCGGGTACACGTAGCGTACACGCATCGTACACGCGGAGTACACTCACGTAGGTGTACTCGCGTGTACTTGCGTGTTTGTGCGTGTACCCGCGTGTACATGCGTGTACATGCGTGTACTCGCGTGTACGTGCGTGTATCTCCGTGTACCCGCGTGTACGTGCGTGTATCTCCGTGTACCCGCGTGTATCTGCGTGTATGTGTACGTGCGTGTATCTGCGTGTATGTGTACATGCGTGTATCTGCGTGTACGTGCGTGTATCTGCGTGTACGTGCGTGTATCTGCGTGTACGTGCAGCTATCCGCATGTACGTGCGTGTACCTGCGTGTACGTACGTGTACCTGCGTGTACCCGCGTGCACGTGCATGTATCCACGTGCACGTGCGTGTACCCGTGTGTACGTGCATGTATCTGCGTGTACGTGCATGTATCTGCGTGTACGTGCGTGTACCCGCGTGTACGTGCGTGTATCTCCGTGTACCCGCGTGTACATGCGTGTATCTGTGTGTACGTGTACGCGCGTGTATCTGCATGCAGGTGCGTGTACCCGCGTGCACGTGCGTGTACCCGCGTGTACGTGCGTGTACCCGCGTGCACGTGCGTGTATCTGCGTGTACGTGCGTGTACATTCGTGTATCTGCGTGTATGTGTACGTGCGTGTATCTGCGTGTATGTGTACATGCGTGTATCTGCGTGTACGTGCATGTATCTGCGTGTACGTGCGTGTATCCGCGTGTACGTGCGTGTACCTGCGTGTACGTACGTGTACCTGCGTGTACCCGCGTGCACGTGCGTGTACCCACGTGCACGTGCGTGTACCCGCGTGTACGTGCATGTAACTGCGTGTACGTGCATGTATCTGCGTGTACGTGCGTGTACCCGCGTGTACGTGCGTGTATCTCTGTGTACCCGCGTGTACATGCGTGTATCTGCGTGTACGTGTACGCGCGTGTATCTGCATGCACGTGCGTGTACCCGTGTGCACGTGCGTGTACCCGCGTGCACGTGCGTGTACCCGCGTGTACGTGCGTACGTGTATCTGTGTGTACCCGCGTGTACGTGCGTGTACCTGTGTGTACGTGCGTGTATGTGCGTGTATCTTCGTGTACCCGTGTACGTGTAAGTGCGTGTATCTGTGTGTACGTGCGTGTACCCCCTCTGTGCGTGCCTGCCTGAGCAGCCAGTTTACAAAATTGCCTAGCTTAGCCTCGTTTTCGTGCGATGACCCCAGGTCATGAATAATATTTAAGACTGGTCTATAGCCTATAGGGCCTATATTGCTATATTATAATTATATACCGCCGATATATATCCAAGACGGATAGAGATCAAACAGATCAACACTCGGATCGCAGTGCAAAAAGCATCAATTTGCAATTAACCAAAGAGGAAGGAAGAGCATTCCAATACGGAATGACAGAAACAAAGACTGAAAGAGGGTAAACTTATACTTAGAGCGATCCTTAGGCTTAAGCCGCTTAGGCTTTGAAGATGAACGTGTGGGCCGACCTACCATGGGTTGCGGTTTCTCTGACTTTTGCGCAATGCACTGCACCTATAGCACCAATCTCGCTCAGTCGGGTTAATCATTGAACACTCATGACAGTGCCATTGTAAGACGGATGCGTTTGACCCCATAATAAAAGTTTGTATACGAAAAATGCTTTTCACTTGTAAATCAATGAAGTTTAATCACTACATCCTTCGTTGCTGTGGAATAGAATGAAACCTACAATACGATTGGATAAAAAGTATAAACCTTGAGATATTATCCAATGAAAACATGGTTTCTATGTGTGGTTGGAGGGATGATAACATTCGACAGGGATATCGCTGCGAATATAAAACCGTAGCACACTATTGTAATGCTGGACAAATTTCTGCCATTAACATGTGGAAATGTAGAAACTTTTAATATATGTGGTTTTTATAATATATATGTATGTGACAAACTATGTTTAGTAACTAAAATTATTATAACGCTACAGAAAGATGATTGCAGAACCAATCAACATCCCTGCCGGATCCCGCTTGACCCACAGCAGGTGAAGTCAAGACACATTGCGGATGCAGTGGAACCGCTTGCAAGTTATTCCATGATTCCTACTCTAATATTTATTTGAACGTCTATCGAGGTGCAGTGATGATAAGGCATGGTAGATAAACATGATACCCGACATCGTACGCATCAGCTGGAAGGTATAGCTAGTATTATACAATTTTTATTATGTGTACGTTGAGAAAGTTTGAGAAATTACAATGAGTATGAAGCTATTCAGTATTCTGTATCCACACACAGTGTTTGTGACGGTGACACCGACTACTCCCAGTGCAGTGCCTGTGGTATGCTAACTAATTCGACATATAAACCAGTACAACAGAATTTAGTTCTGGCGGCAAGAGTTTCATAATAACAGGAGTCTATCAATATTGATAGACTCCTGATAATAACAACGTCATTGTCATATTTAATCATTCAAACATACTTTACTACTACTACTACTACTAGTACTAGTAGTAGTACTAGGATTAATCTTGTTTAATCGTTATGAGGTTAGTCTTCACAAAAGTCCTTCTTCTACTTATTACTTAGTAGTACTAGTAGAGTCCTAGTAGTAGTAGTAGTACCGGTAGTACTAGTAGTAGTAGTAGTAGTACTAGGGATTATGCCAAAGACGGAGAAAGTCAAAGTTGAAAAAATCAATAGATAAACACTGAAGATTGTAGTAGAAAGGGGGTTTAAGCTATTTAATTTGACAATTAGCCAGAGAAAGAAGGATGAGAATTTAAATTTCAGAGAGTCACACGAACTCCTGCATATGTCAAATGAGGGAGTTCGAAAGTAAATCAGGGAGTATTTGACTCCGGACTCGCGTTAATTTCGCACCCTGCAGTGCCACAGGAACTTGGAACGTCTCAATAAAAAAAAATAATGGTAAATAAACACGAAATGTACCAAA